GTTACCACAAACTTCCCTACCAATTCAACAACCCCCCCCCACTAGACCTTCTAGATCATAATACATTTTACAGTACATTTTATCCACAAAATGTAATTGATTTTATAAGTTTACCTTTTCTCTCAAGGCAACAACTTCTCTAGCAAATTCCCAAAGAAGAAACTGGTTTTGGCCCATCCTCCTCCTGAACCGCCTTGACTTTCTTCCTTCCATCTTCTGCTTGGAACCTTATTCTTGACGTTGATCATCATACTGTGTCCGATCTCTCCGCGCAACGCCTCGATCGTCTTCACATCCACCGGATTCCCTGAAGCATCTCTCACATAGAAAACGTTAACCGCTTGTTCTCCTACTGTTGTCACACCAGCTCTCGTCACCGAAAGCCCGTGCTCTCTCAGAATCCTAGTCACTTCTGACAGTAATCCAACTCTGTCCTTTGCGCAGAGCTCCAAACTCCAACCCTAGAATTCAAAATTTAAAGACAATAGTTTAACTAGTCGTTGCTTCTTATGCAAGAAACACTACAAAAATTGTTGTTTTTACTTTTTAGTAACTTACCTCGCTGACTCTTCTATGGATTGCGGCTTCTAGACATTTGATAACTCTCTCTTTCTCTCCTTCTGAGTCAAGAGTGTAACCGTCTTTGTGTCTGATGAAATACTCCTGAGAGGCATGAGGACCTTTCGATGAAATCGTGGCGTGAAACACAATGTACTGCATATCCGTAAGCGTGCATACAATGTCGAACATGAGCTTGGGTCGATCCTCGCAGCTCACGCTTATCACGGAGTAACCTTTCTCTTCACAATGCTCAACAGTGATCTTGGCTCCGAGTCCAGGAGAAGCGGAATCATCAAGCTTGGCTACTGCTTCGTAGTCTTTATCAGCGAAAAGCATCTGATGCAGCCTACGGTCAACGTGAGTTGATCCAATGGAGAGACTCGTCCGAGCAACTTTCTCATCTTCCTGTTCACACCCACGTAGCACGTTGTTGAGCTGTTCTTCCATGGCAGACAATCTTTCTGGATCATCAACGGCTCTAGATGTTGCGTTATCGTTCACATAGAGGACACACGCGATCCTACGGTTGTGAGTCCATGCTTCAGCTGCAACCACATTGAAGTTGAGGTCTGCTAGTACAGCTGAGATCTCAGACAAGAGACCAGGACGGTCACGAGCAATGATCTCGATCGATGTGTGGTCGCCTAATGAATGGACACCGACTCTTTTACCTGGCCAAGTGTTTTGTGAAGCCGAAGCATGACCCTTTGGTCCTAACACCTATTTAATGAAAACACAAGAATCATCTATATATTGCAATAACAAACCAAATTGCACACATTATTCAAACTATACATATGATATTCCTTTAAATTACATACCTTTTCGATGTAATCGATGGTTTTGCTATCAGTAACCTTGTTTCCTTGTTGATCAGTGACATGGAATACTATTCAAGATGTGAAAATGGAATCAATGAGATGTTTCATTTGGTATGAATGAAAGAATTTGTTGTAGTAAT